AACATGTAGCACCTCGCATGGAGGTCGTCCTTCTTCCATGCCTCGAAAGTGGCAGTCTCATCAGCAGTAGCAGTCGCAGGGAGAGCAGCGGGGGGACGTTCATTGAGCACATAGAGACGCTCCTCGACTTGGAGCACAAGTTTCAGATTGCGAAGCCAATCCAAATAGTTTGGACCGGTGAGTTTGTTTTGGTCGAGGATTGAGGAAAGGGGATGTTTGGACATTTTTGCTGAGAAATTTTTAAGAAGACAATAATTAGAGTTTAGTTCGTAATAATCGTTACAATTAAAATTTTGGACTTTTATGTTTTAATTGTTCTCCCACTAATTTTATCAAATTCCACCACCCTCTAGCAGACAATCGAGAAAACTTATTTTTCTTTAATGGGCTTTAGGTCCAATAGCGCTAATGTAACCCGTAGTTAATCTATCCCGATTACATAAGCCTAAAGGTAGAGTACTATCAATCACATCACTATGTGACCCTAAAGTTCGATTTACCTCACACTTGATAATGACCTAAGTTAATCTAGCGAATATCAAAATCTTCTTGTGTCAAGTCTAGCCTACCAATATGAGATGTCATAAATCCAACTATATCAAACTAATGCAATCCCTAGTTAATCTAGCCGACCACATTAATCCAATATAATTTTATCTATGACCGTATCTCCATCTAATGTCAATTAAATTACAGCTTATCCCACAATAGCACTCCCCGCTAACACGGTTTACTGCACTATTATGAGAGGCTACACATAATTTAATTGTTGGTAGAAGGAAAGAAAAATTCAACAATTTGGTTTTTCTTTATAGCTTGATAATTATTCTTGATTAAGAATGAGGGATTTTATTTATTAAATCTTATTAGCTCATCGGAAGTTTTAGGTTATGATCGTTTGTGATTCCTACAACTATGTTCTCTAGGTATGTGGAAACGCATATTGATCATAAGAGAGACATACGATCATCATCGTACTTAATCACAATTATTCATCTCATGAATTAATTAATTAATACGATTAATTGCAAATATAATTAACGGACTCCCTTCACTCATAAATCATTCAAATAAGAATGAAGTCCATTAATTATTTGCCATCTAATTTGTGTTCCATTAATTAAACTAATTTAACGATTAAATTAAATAATTAATCCAACACTATTATTTGAATTCAAATTAAATTAATTGATCAATTATCTAATTGGCTTTAATTGATAAATAATTTCAAAAATTAAAAAATCAATTAATTTTAATATTAATTTCAGAAAATCAGAAAATATATATATATTTTTTTTGTTTGTGCTGACCGGACCAGTCAGACCGGTCCGACCGGACCGGTTCAGTCAGCTGGAAAAAACAGCAGGAAAAAAAAAATCCGATTTTCAAAATTAAAAATTTTATATTTTCTGAAATATTCAAAATATTTAATTAATATTAAACCACCCAATTTGATAACACCAAAAATTCAACAATCCAACAAATCGAAGCATGCTTTCGAAAACGATAAACACGTTGACAAATAAACGATTAACCCGTGGCTCTGATACCACTGTTGGGGATCGTGCATGTATACGCAGCGGAATTTAAAAATTTTAGATCGAATTAGTTTCGATTACATGCATAAACTAATCACATAGTCAACGTACCTTAACGCTTCCGCCATACATATGGTAATTATCGATTTAATTGAAAAACACGTAAAACCGAAAATTACGAAACATGCTTGTTCATCATTCAATAAAATCGAAACACGTAATCACATATTACTCATAATCATAAATTATAATTCATACAAACATGCTCGAATTAATTTACGAAAGTTTCGATTTATTTACCTCTTGTAGCGTGAGATTTCGACGAATCGAAACCTAGAACCAATCACGTACAAGCTGCAAATTACCAATCCTCGGGGCTGCAATTCACGGCTGGAACAAGCTGATCCAGCAAGCGATGAACGGCGGCGCGTGGCAGCAGCAGCGGCGGCGCGTGAGCAGCGTAACGGCGCGTGCGGCGGTGCAGCGGCGGTGCGTGGATTCGTCAGGGTAGCAGCTCCTCTCGATTTAGGTTTCACCTCGTATTTTCGACCCACTCGAACTACAGCACTAGAGGTAAACGAGTTAGATAACACTAAGAATAAACTGAAGGAAACGAGAGGAGAAAACCGGCGATTTTCCGGCGGTGGTCGGCGATGGTGCGGCAGGGCAGCAACGGCCGAAGGGGAGAGCGGCTAGGGCTTGAGCGGCTAGGGTTTGGTGCTGAAAATCTGATCTCAAACTCTTGTTTGAGGTCTATTTATACCTAGGGTTTTCAACCCTAGTGGGCTTAAGTCATTGGGCTTGACCCACTGATGCATTAAGCCCATTCCCTCGTCGGCCTCGTTTCTAATAAACGATCGTTCACAAAATTATAACAAAATTATATTTGTGACGAGCTCAAAGTCCTCGTCGATACGAGTGCCTCTTCGAAATTTCCAATTTCCAAAATTGGAAACTTCCACTTTAGTGGACTTGCTAAATCGGGAAACTTCCCAATTTAGAAAGTTTACTAAATTCCGCATTTCTCTCTTTCTCCACGTTTATTCCAATTCGCAATTCACAATTACGAATCTTGGATTCAATCATATCGACATCCAATCGTTCAAAGATTAACACATTAATCTATGCTTGTTGTTATCAAGGATCTATATTACACGAGAAGTGTGACCCTCAATGGTTCAGGTGTATGCTAGCCGTGGGCTCACAACTCTTTGTGATTCGAACAACACATTGTTCTTATACGAACTCCTCCCAAGAGTCCCGATTAGAGTAAAACTCATTTTACCTAATCCCCGATCAAATCGGTGCCCAACGAATCAAGATTGGCGTCTAGCAACTACGCATCATGATTCCCTAGATACAAATGAAGTGCCTGCAAGAACCTTATGATATAGTTAGCGTACAGTACGATCCTTTCGCAGCACATGTCCCGATTGAACTAGAGGCATTGGTTCACCGAGACCTCTTATAAACTTCAATAACCGTGCGAACGTTCTATGTATTATAAATCCGTTCGTGTGCGACTTAGGGAAACACATTTCCCTAATCACCCCACTATCAAATCTGGCCAGAGATTCCATGGATTATAAACCGTCAGAACACACAGGACATCCATGACTACTCAAGCGCTCGAATCCCCTACTACAATGCACAGACTTCACACTAGATTTCGGATTGCACGAACGTTGGCCCTTGGAGTGGTCCGCGGTGGGACTCAGGGACAGGTCAAGATACAATCGGTCCTCTAGTGAAGTCACGGTGATGTCTGGGTCTTAAGGACTAATGGTGTACAACTATATCTTAGAAACCTATTACTCGATGAATGAGAACCACTTATAGATTTCTAGGGCGAGGGAGTTCAGTGAACTCATCCAGTATGAGCACCCACTCAAGTATGCCGATGTCACAACACCGAGGACTGATGAGACGCAGTACACATACACTAAGTGCTAGTCTCAAAAGGGAAAGATCGGTATCCTCATTATTGGCGTAACCCATCGACTAGGAACAAGGTTTAACAGTTACATTACATTGCTGAGTTGTCTCACGATTCTACTAGATCAACTCACAGTAATAGAGTAACTCGTTAGGACTATATCTATGCTGCTTGCATGGGATAACAAATATAGAATGCCAAATGAAATATTTTATTATTACGAACGAAAAACGATTGTTTTATTACAAGGAAAAGAGAAAGACCACAACCACAAGTTGGCTTGTTGGTCACCTACTCTAACAATTTGCGCATTCTGACTGAATGTGACTGAAACCCTCGCATTCTCGGCATTGTATTATTCTCGGTTTTGAATCCTCTGAGTTGTCTTGATTCGGGTTTCTCCTAGGGTTTTGAAAGTTCAAGGGTTTCCCTGTGTTGGGAGGATTCCCCTATTTAGCAATTTTTGTTAGAAACTTCCCGAAGTTTTTCAACAGGAGTGCCAAGGGCTATTCAACAGTCTGATCATCTTCTTGAGTAGACCGATCTTGTAGAGTTACATGTGAAGTTTCTGCTTGAAAGGATATCTTCTTTTATCTAGGGTTTACACGATGATTCTCATCATAATTGAGTTCTTGTGCTAGCAGTTTCCCCATGAGCTCATCTAATTTGAGAGTATTAACGTCTCTGACTTCTTCTATGGCGGCAACTCGGTAAGTGAATCTTCCAGGTAGTGAACGCATTGTTTCCCCCACTAGTTTTTTTTATGAGTGGGGTTCACCGAGTGCATTGTTTTCATTTTTTTTTGAATCTACTTAAATGTAATTTATATTTTATTTGTTTAAATTTAAATATTATTAAAAATTCATCCGTGGATTAATTGTTTCATGAGTGTTGATTCAGA